TTTACTATAGCATTGATAAATTGCCTTAACTGCAGATATTAAAGCCCCTGATTTTAAGATTGTCGAAGTCTTATCAATAAAATTATTTCATTAAATATATTTCTTTTGTTTTATCCAAACTTCTGGTCCTGCCTTTACACCACGTCTTTTTTAATGAGTATAATACATATTAAATGAAACTAATTTATACGCGTAATATACAAAGCACCCGAAATGTCGGGAATTAAAAAGTTAAATTAAACGCAATAAAATCCGTATAAATTAGTTTCATTTAATGTGTAGTCTTCGCGTGAATATAAGAAATCATTAGTATAATACATAATTATTCATCAATACTTCAAATAACCACCTGATACTTTCCAGCATCCTAATGTATAAAATGTTTTCTTCCAATTCAAATTGTGACTGAAGAGGATGTTCAATATCTTTTATAAACGAAACATTTTGAGAGCAAAAAAATATAAAAGTGGTTCACTCTGCTGCGCAGTAACGAAATAACCGCAAACGCTCTGCCAGACTCGCAGGACTGGATTCACCAATTGACGAAATTATATTTTTTCACAATTTCAACTTGCCCAAAGGACCTTCCCAAATTTCGTCGCCAGCTCTCAAACTATTATTTCGAAATTTTTCAACATAGATAAGCTAATATAATCGGGTTTTTTCAAGTTATCATTACGATTGTTGAGTTTTATTCTGAATTTAATCCGAAATCGTTTAACAGAACCCATAATCTTATATTGTGTGTAATTTTCCATTTTATTTTCCAGCTGAAACATGCAATAATCTTTATGACACTTGAAATCAAAGCGAGTTTATTACTTCGCTTTTAGCACTAATGTTTTATATATATGTATACTAGCTGGCCAGGCAGACGTTTTTCTGCCCTTTCCGAAGACTCTTCTCATTAAAAAAAAATCCTTAAATTCGCAATAAAAAAAACATTGAAGGTCATTTATCGGGATAAAAAGTATCCTATCTCTCAAGTTGGACCAAACTGAACACAGTGTACAAGTTCATGCAAGAGTTCATCGCGGACAAACAATGTGACGCGTAATTTTTATATATATCAAGACTTGTTTTTCTTTGCTATTATCGTACGTTAACAAATATTCATCATTTCATCATCATTACAGCCCTTCACAAGTCCACTGCTGAACATAGGCCTCCCCCAAGGAATGCCACAAAGCACGGTCCTGAGCCACCTGCATCCATCGACTTCCTGCATATCTTACCAGGTCGTCACTCCATCTAGTGGGGGGACGCCCAACACTTCGCCTGCCAGTACGAGGCTGCCACTCGAGAACCTTTCTTCCCCATCAGTTGACGGTTCTTCGAGCTATATGGCCGGCCCATTGCCATTTGAGCTTACTAATCCGTTGGGCTATGTCGGTCACTCTGGTTCTACTGCGGATATCCTCATTTCTGAGTTTATCACGCAGAGAAACTCCGAGCATAGCCCTCCATAGCTCGCTGAGCGACCTTGAGCTTCCTCATCCGGCCAGCAGTGAAGGACCACGTCTCAGTTCCATATGTCATCACTGGCAACACGCACTGGTTGTACAGTCTCGTTTTCAAGTTTTGAGGTATACCTGACGAGAAGATGTGCCGTAATTTCCCGAACGCTGCCCAACCGAGTTGAATCCGTCGATTGACCTCTCGGTCGAAGTTGGACTTACCTAGTCGGACTATTTGTCCCAGGTAAACATACCTGTCAACAACTTCGAGCTTAGTGCTCGCAACAACTACCGGCATAGGTGTGACATGGACATTAAACATGAACTTTGTTTTGTCCATGTTCATTTTAAGACCTATCCGTTGGGAAGCACTATTGAGGTCATTGAGCATAGTGCTTAGGTCCTTCAGCGATTCTGCCATAAGGACTATATCGTCGGTAAATCGAAGGTGAGTGATGTACTCTCCATTGATGTTGATACCGTATCCTTTCCAGTCCAGAAGCTTGAAAACGTCTTCCAATACAGCGGTGAAGAGTTTCGGGGATATGACGTCACCTTGTCTTACACCTCTCTGCAATTGGATAGGTTTCGTACTCTGGTTCTGTACTCGGATAGCCATCGTAGCCCTACTGTACAAGCACTTCAGCACTTCGATATACCAACAATCCACTTGGCACCGCTGAAGGGACTGCAGCACCGCCCAAATTTCGACGGAAACAAAGGCTTTCTCATAGTCCACATACGCCAGACATAGTGGCAAATTGTACTCCTCTGACTTTTGTACAATTTGCCGAAGGGTATGTATGTGGTCTATGGTGCTCAAGTCTTTTCAGAAAACGGGTTGTTCGAGAGGCTGGAAGTCGTCAAGTCTGCGCGCGAGACGATTCGTAATGACTCTCGAAAACAGCACGTAGACGAGGCTCAGAAGGGAAATCGGTCTGTAGTTCCTCAAGAGAGCGTTGTCGCCTTTCTTGAAGAACAAGACCACCGCACTTCTGCTCTACGCCTCCGGTGTAATGCCACCATGGAGGACGGAATTAAAGAGCTTCTGAAGGACTTTAAGTACCGGTTTTCCACCCGCTTTCAGAAGCTCCGCTGTAATTCCATCCTCGCCTGGGGCCTTGCCGTTTTTAAGGTGCTGGAGAGCCATTCTAATCTCGCTCAGACTGACGTCCGGGATATCATCGGAATAATGTCGGATAAGACTCGCTCGTGGATCGTTACTCACACTCGCGTGTGGCTCCAACGATGACGTGTACAGCTGCCCATAGAATCTCTCAATCTCACTCAAAATCTCAGGTGCCCCGGAAACGATGCCTCCACAATCTGTCTTCAGCTTTGACAGTTGGCTCTTTCTGGCAGACAGATCTCTGGCAAAGACTTTGGAGCCTTGGTTCCGCTCGATCGCTTCTTCAATACGAGTGAAGTTGCGTAAGTCCCGCCGCATGCATTTGGAGATCTGTCTGTTCAGTTGCCTGTATGCTGTCAAATCTGTTGAAGAATGTAGCTTCATCTCCCGTCTAACAGCCATGAGATTAAGAGTGTGATCGGAGAGTTTTTGTGTTCTTCTGCGGCGGGTCTTGCAGAACTTAGCTCCGACCGCATGGACAGTTTCCACGAGCTTGTCATTCATATCGTCCACTTCATTGCAGTCTTCTAGGCACTGAAAACGGTTTTGTAACTCGAGCTGAAAGGTTTCGGGACTTTGGATTAGAGCACGAGGGGGACGGAGCGTTGACTTCATTAAACGTGACCTCTCCAACTTAACGTTTAGGTTCAGTGTGCCTCTAACCATTCGGTGATCTCTGCCGGTTTTCACCCACGCGATCACTGAGACATCACTGAACAGTTGTCGTCTGGTCGTCATAATGAACCGTTGTCGAACTGTCGGGGCTCGACCAGGTCCACTTCCTGTGGGGCCGCTTCTGGAAGAAAGAGTTCATCATAAAGAGTCCCTCTTTCTCCATGAAGTCGGCCAGCGGCTGGCCCCTTGGGTTCCGTTGCCCTATTCCAAATTTCCCTACTTTCAGCTGACCATTCTCTCTTGTGCCTAGTTTTGCATTGAAGTCTCCCATTAACACCGTATATTGGGTTTTGGAGGAATGCTCGGCTCTAGAGATATCCTCATACATTTCCTCCACCTCCTCATCGGGGTGTACCGAGGTTGGTGCGTAAACCTGTATGACCTTCAGCGAATACCGTTTGGTGATTCTGAGTATAAGGTACGCAACCCTCGTCGACACACAATCTTTACAACGTTGTTAACGAGAGACTTGTGGACGATAAATCCGACACCTCCTTGGGACAGATGGTCGCCCTCCCGGTAATAGAGCAAGTTGCCGGATTCGAGGATTACCGTGTCCTCCCCCTCTCTTCGGACTTCGGATAATCCTATAATATGCCAGCATAACTTGTCTATCTCTTCTTCCAGCGTCACAATCTTCTCGTTAGTTCTCAGGGTGCGTACGTTGTATGTTGCCAGGTCGACGTTATGCATGGTTTCTGTTACGACGCTGCGAGTCACGGGTTTATTTCTGTTACAAAATAAGTATTTGGCCGTGTACAAAATATATGTTGTTTGTTTTTAGAACTACAGCTAGCTTATCTTTTTAAAGAAATTTTAGTATCGTAAATATTGTTTTTTTTTTATGTTATGTTAATAAATATATAAAACAATTATTGATATTAAAGAGAAAAGTATGTAGGTAGTCTTGTGAAAAGATATTCGACGCGATCAACTGGAATGTTTTGAACTTGAGCATAGATATGTTAACAGTTGGGAACTAGCGAGTAGTTAGTCAACAAACTAAATAAAAATTTCCTTAATAAGACCTTACCGTGTTCACACTTATTATAATGAATATCACAAAATAAAATAAAAAAAAATCTTCGGGAAATATAGACGCCGCTTTAGGCTCAATTTACATTGCCGCGGAACGAAATTGAAGCGAATTTTGGTAACGAAATTGTACATAGTTTATTGAATTTTATGTTAATTGTGTAACGTGCGAACTAGATATAAGCCAAAAAAGAAGTGGCGTGTCGTCCGGGTAATTTTCGAGAATTCCCGTAGCTACTGTCGGCGCAGTCTGTGGAATACAAATTAAATCTATCGTTTTAAATTTTCGCGTGAAAACGATAGCCACCACGCTGTTCACTGCACTCGTGACGTCACTGCCCTAGAATTTTGCCGATTTTGCAAAGAAATAAGATTCTTTTGGATGTTTAATAATGAGTTATCATCTATATCAATGTTGTATTTTGTCTGAATGCAAAAATACGAGCATACGAACTCCGGGGAAGTTATGGATTCAAGTGCCAACTGATTTAAATATGAGAAATACTTGGTTAAAACTATCAGGAAAAGACCCGAAGGCATTGTCTACAAAATCTAAACTATACTTCTGTGAAGATCACTTTAATGTAAAGTATGACTTATATCGGGTGGGCCATGAATTAGTTAACATTTGAAAAAATCGTATAAAAAAAACCATTTAATATTTTAGAAATCGTTTATTTACGAGAAAGCTAATTAGTTGTAATTTATTTTTTAAAAATTATTTCGTCTAAATGACCACCGTTTCGGTTTTTGCACTCATCTAAGCGAGTCCTGAAGTTTTCGAATACTCTTCTGCAAAGAGACCGCGAGATCGCCGACATCTCTTCGATGATTTTTTCTTTAAGTTGACGCAGTGTATTCGGTTTATCAATGTAGACACGACTCTTTAAATAACCCCATAAAAAGAAGTCTGCTGGGGATAGATCTGGACTTCTGGGTGGCCATGGGATGTCACCCCGTCTGGATATCAGCTTTTCCAGAAACATGTCTTTGACCACCGGCAAGGACTCGTTCGATGTGTGACACGTGGCTCCATCTTGTTGGAACCATGTGTTACGATTATAGCCAGCAAATTCCAGTAGCATCGGTGCTAAGAACTCCCGTAACATTTTCACATACTCGGCAGAATTAACAGTAACTGAACGGCCTCGAGAATCTTCAAAAAAGTAAGGTCCGATGATTCCTTTTGCTGAAATTGCAGCCCATACAGTTACCTTAGGAGAGTGAAGTGGCCTCTCATGTTTAGCTTTAGGATTTTCGCTGCTCCAATACCTGCAATTCTGTTTGTTTACATGTCCATTTAGGTGGAAATGGGCTTCGTCAGAAAATAAGATGTTGTGAAAATTACTGAAACGAGTTAACATTGTTTCGGCATATGACTTACGCAAATTTAAATCATTAGGGTTTAGTTCTTGCACTAGCTGGATCTTATATGGATGTAATTTCAAATCTAATTTCAAAATACGGCGTAATGATGTGCGGGATAATCCTAATTCAGCCGAACGTTTGCGTGTCGATAAATCTGGATCACGTCGAACAGAAGCGGAAACATGCTGCACGTTCTCTTCGCTCCGAGAAGTCCGTGGGCCGCCGGTTTGTTTCACATTTAGTGTAGATCCCGTCTCTTCGAACTTCTTCACCCATTTCTTTATTAAAGGAGCACTTGGACACTGACTTAAGTCGTGTAAACCATATTCAACGCGAAATAAGCGTCTCACAGTAATGAGCGAAAAGTCGTTTAAATAAAACTGTTTCACGCAGTAAGCGCGTTGCGGCCCCGTGAAGCGATCCATTGCGACTAAATTTCCAAGAAGCGAGCTAGTGCCCCCGCCTACGCCCGCGCCCCGCGCGGCAATAGTTTGCGCGGTAAGTTACATTTAAATGTTAACGAATTCTTGGCCCACCCTGTATTTAACTATCGTTTATACAAAATGATAGAGATAGGTGCATGACCTATTGCAAGTCGATTTGTGTAATAGATTAGGTTAACCGCTCGTCTGTCTCGCCCTTTGTGGGCCATTTTGACAGCCTTTACAAGTGCAGTGCAGTTTTGCCTTACAGTACTCTAAGAGTTTTACTTAATTCGAGTTTTCTTCTATTATATGGGAATAATGACATGGTTTGTACAAAGAATATAACAAAAGGTTTTTCCTCACCTAAGCTTATATTATAATCTTTATATATAAAATAATATTGTTGCCGTGTAGTGGCGGTTAAGAATATCCACTACCCCATATCTTCCCGTGGGTGTCGTAAAAGGCGACAAAGGGAAACAGGCAGGAGATGGGCAGCAGCATCTTCCTGATAACAGCAAAAATACAATAAAAAACTGCGGTTGCCAACCCGCTCGCCAAGCGTGGCAACTATGGCAAATATACCCCCCATGATAAAAGTTACAAAACCACGGCCCCCAGTCCCCGGCGGCCCCGCTATCCCTGGCTACGGTGGCGGTCATGGTAACGGCGGGGCAGGGGGTGCTAAGAATCTCCGGTGGAGGTTCGGTTGCCACCTACGACGACTCGACCTGGCAACATACAACGTACGCACCCTGAGGACTGACGAGAAGATTGTGGAGCTGGAAGAAGAGATAGACAAGTTACGCTGGCATATTATAGGATTATCCGAAGTCCGAAAAGAGGGGGAGGAAACGGTGATCCTCGAATCCGGCAACTTGCTCTATTACCGGGAGGGCGACCATCTGTCCCAAGGAGGTGTCGGATTTATCGTCCACAAGTCTCTCGTTAACAACGTTGTAAAGATTATGTGTCGACGAGGGTTGCGTACCTTATACTCAGAATCACCAAACGGTATTCGCTGAAGGTCATACAGGTTTACGCACCAACCTCGGTACACCCCGATGAGGAGGTGGAGGAAATGTATGAGGATATCTCTAGAGCCGAGCATTCCTCCAAAACCCAATATACGGTGTTAATGGGAGACTTCAATGCAAAACTAGGCACAAGAGAAAATGGTCAGCTGAAAGTAGGGAAATTTGGAATAGGGCAACGGAACCCAAGGGGCCAGCCGCTGGCCGACTTCATGGAGAAAGAGGGACTCTTTATGATGAACTCTTTCTTCCAGAAGCGGCCCCACAGGAAGTGGACCTGGTCGAGCCCCGACAGTTCGACAACGGTTCATTATGACGACCAGACGACAACTGTTCAGTGATGTCTCAGTGATCGCGTGGGTGAAAACCGGCAGCGATCACCGAATGGTTAGACGCACACTGAACCTAAACGTTAAGTTGGAGAGGTCTCGTCTAATGAAGTCAACGCTCCGTCCCCCTCGTGCTCTAATCCAAAGTCCCGAAACCTTTCAGCTCGAGTTACAAAACCGTTTTCAGTGCCTAGAAGACTGCAATGAAGTGGACGATATGAATGACAAGCTCGTGGAAACTGTCCATGCGGTCGGAGCTAAGTTCTGCAAGACCCGCCGCAGAAGAACACAAAAACTCTCCGATCACACTCTTAATCTCATGGCTGTTAGACGGGAGATGAAGCTACATTCTTCAACAGATTTGACAGCATACAGGCAACTGAACAGACAGATCTCTAAATGCATGCGGCGGGACTTACGCAACTTCACTCGTATTGAAGAAGCGATCGAGCGGAACCAAGGCTCCAAAGTCTTTGCCAGAGATCTGTCTGCCAGAAAGAGCCAACTGTCAAAGCTGAAGACAGATTGTGGAGGCATCGTTTCCGGGGCACCTGAGATTTTGAGTGAGATTGAGAGATTCTATGGGCAGCTGTACACGTCATCGTTGGAGCCACACGCGAGTGTGAGTAACGATCCACGAGCGAGTCTTATCCGACATTATTCCGATGATATCCCGGACGTCAGTCTGAGCGAGATTAGAATGGCTCTCCAGCACCTTAAAAACGGCAAGGCCCCAGGCGAGGATGGAATTACAGCGGAGCTTCTGAAAGCGGGTGGAAAACCGGTACTTAAAGTCCTTCAGAAGCTCTTTAATTCCGTCCTCCATGGTGGCATTACACCGGAGGCGTGGAGCAGAAGTGCGGTGGTCTTGTTCTTCAAGAAAGGCGACAACGCTCTCTTGAGGAACTACGGACCGATTTCCCTTCTGAGCCTCGTCTACGTGCTGTTTTCGAGAGTCATTACGAATCGTCTCGCGCGCAGACTTGACGACTTCCAGCCTCCCGAACAAGCCGGTTTCCGAAAAGGCTTTAGCACCATAGACCACATACATACCCTTCGGCAAATTGTCCAAAAAACAGAGGAGTACAATTTGGCGTATGTGGACTATGAGAAAGCCTTTGATTCCGTCGAAATTTGGGCGGTGCTGCAGTCCCTTCAGCGGTGCCAAGTGGACTGTCGGTATATCGAAGTGCTTGTACAGTAGGGCTACGATGGCTATCCGAGTACAGAACCAGAGTACGAAACCTATCCAATTGCAGAGAGGTGTAAGACAGGGTGACGTCATATCCCCGAAACTCTTCACCGCTGCATTGGAAGACGTTTTCAAGCTTCTGGACTGGAAAGGATACGGTATCAACATCAATGGAGAGTACATCACTCACCTTCGATTTGCCGACGATATAGTCCTTATGGCAGAATCGCTGGAGGACCTAAGCTCTATGCTCAATGACCTCAATAGTGTTTCCCAACGCATAGGTCTTAAAATGAACATGGACAAAACAAAGATCATGTTTACTGTCCATGTCACACCTATGCCGGTAGTTGTTGGGAGCACTAACATTTGCAAAAAAAGTTCCAAAAAAATGTTTTTTTTGCAATTTTGATTTCTTTTTTATCTTTTAATTTAGTTCTTATATAATTCCAAAAAAATAATCCTAGACGTTTTTGTCGGTTATAAAGTATTACCAGACCTCGCCAAAAATATATTTTTTTAATTCCCAAAAAATATACTTTTAGCAATCTCAAATTTTAATCACGTATTTATTGAGTAATTTTTAATGAGAGAAGAAAGAGAGAAGAAGAGATAGACAAGTTACGCTGGCATATTATAGGATTATCCGAAGTCCGAAAAGAGGGGGAGGAAACGGTGATCCTCGAATCCGGCAACTTGCTCTATTACCGGGAGGGCGACCATCTGTCCCAAGGAGGTGTCGGATTTATCGTCCACAAGTCTCTCGTTAACAACGTTGTAAAGATTATGTGTCGACGAGGGTTGCGTACCTTATACTCAGAATCACCAAACGGTATTCGCTGAAGGTCATACAGGTTTACGCACCAACCTCGGTACACCCCGATGAGGAGGTGGAGGAAATGTATGAGGATATCTCTAGAGCCGAGCATTCCTCCAAAACCCAATATACGGTGTTAATGGGAGACTTCAATGCAAAACTAGGCACAAGAGAAAATGGTCAGCTGAAAGTAGGGAAATTTGGAATAGGGCAACGGAACCCAAGGGGCCAGCCGCTGGCCGACTTCATGGAGAAAGAGGGACTCTTTATGATGAACTCTTTCTTCCAGAAGCGGCCCCACAGGAAGTGGACCTGGTCGAGCCCCGACAGTTCGACAACGGTTCATTATGACGACCAGACGACAACTGTTCAGTGATGTCTCAGTGATCGCGTGGGTGAAAACCGGCAGCGATCACCGAATGGTTAGACGCACACTGAACCTAAACGTTAAGTTGGAGAGGTCTCGTCTAATGAAGTCAACGCTCCGTCCCCCTCGTGCTCTAATCCAAAGTCCCGAAACCTTTCAGCTCGAGTTACAAAACCGTTTTCAGTGCCTAGAAGACTGCAATGAAGTGGACGATATGAATGACAAGCTCGTGGAAACTGTCCATGCGGTCGGAGCTAAGTTCTGCAAGACCCGCCGCAGAAGAACACAAAAACTCTCCGATCACACTCTTAATCTCATGGCTGTTAGACGGGAGATGAAGCTACATTCTTCAACAGATTTGACAGCATACAGGCAACTGAACAGACAGATCTCTAAATGCATGCGGCGGGACTTACGCAACTTCACTCGTATTGAAGAAGCGATCGAGCGGAACCAAGGCTCCAAAGTCTTTGCCAGAGATCTGTCTGCCAGAAAGAGCCAACTGTCAAAGCTGAAGACAGATTGTGGAGGCATCGTTTCCGGGGCACCTGAGATTTTGAGTGAGATTGAGAGATTCTATGGGCAGCTGTACACGTCATCGTTGGAGCCACACGCGAGTGTGAGTAACGATCCACGAGCGAGTCTTATCCGACATTATTCCGATGATATCCCGGACGTCAGTCTGAGCGAGATTAGAATGGCTCTCCAGCACCTTAAAAACGGCAAGGCCCCAGGCGAGGATGGAATTACAGCGGAGCTTCTGAAAGCGGGTGGAAAACCGGTACTTAAAGTCCTTCAAATATACTTTTAGCAATCTCAAATTTTAATCACGTATTTATTGAGTAATTTTTAATAATACTTGCAGATCGCCAGACGAATTTAGCTGTTTTAAACAATTCCCAGACGTGAACAAAGTTTACAAATGAATACGACAAAATAGTCTTATGCGTAGCCATAATTGCGAGAAAAATCGAACTTATCGAACCATGCAGATATCGGATGGCGGCCTAAGCTCCTCACACTTATTGGTTACTAAGAAATATCTTTTTTAAAAATTTTAAGATTAAATTCTTGTTTTGGGATTTAGTATGTATGCGCATATATGACCATGTAAATATCTGTATATATAGTTTGAATTATTTTAGATCAGTGTTGTATATTAGCTATTAATTTTAACCTCGTATTACTAGTAACCTTGGCAAAAATATGTTTTGTTAATTACCACCCCATGTTCTTAAAAAGGTAAAACATGTATAAAGTG